ATTTACTGTATTATAGTCTCAGTGAAAAGTCAGCTAATTTTAAAGAAATTAAATACACGACTTACTATAGTATACGATTATACGAATCGAGAAATGAAGCGGAGAAGAATTATTGAAAGAATTAAAATATTTTGCGGGCACTCGAGGAAACAACTTCGGCATGACATCATTCCTATGCGCCGAAAGTGCTCTGATGGACCCTTTCCAAGAGAGGGAACCTAAGAATTTGCACAAAAATGGCGGCGCCCGTTTTAAACGCCGCCCTGCGCGGATTCCGGAGGAGCAGAGGGTTTAGTACTACTGGTGGGTGACGCTAGAACGGAAGGGGAAATTGGGGTATTTTTTCGGTGATCTTGCAGCGCTTGGTGGAACCGGCTTCCCCACGTTCATTTTGCATTTTAGAAATCCACGTCTGACTATTCCTCTTGTTAAATTTGGTTCCATTATATTCCAGTGCATCCCTGTGTCTGGAATATTGCTATCACCTTTATGGATATTTTGTTGAAAGGCCCCAGGAATGATGGTCTCTTCATTTAGAATTTCTAAAGGATGGATTTAGGTTTTTCTGCAAGCATAGTATGCATTTTAACTTGTAAAGTTCTGCTAAGTTTTCGTTCTCTGTGCTGCAGATAACCGGACAATCATACAATAATAGACTACCGAGGCTGAAAATATTTTGGCAGATGGGGTTAAACCTTGCACCAGCGGTGCACATCTCTGCTGTTCATTTGTTGATCTTTTTTCATGTTTCTGTGCAAGAAATTTGCTTTCAAAGGTGGATCCTTAAAACTAGCTTTTTTTTTTAATGCAGTCAATTTAATAAAGGCTAGAGAGGTGTTGGATGCTAGAGAGGTGTTGGGTGCACGAGGGCCAAGGCATTTCTTCAAAATCACAAGAACATTGCTCTCGACATGTATAAAGAGATTGGTTATGCATGTATCACTTTTTCATTCTGTAAAATTTTATCAACAATGCCCACGAAGGACTGAGCCCAGTTTGAAGGGGACACTAGTTATTTGTGTTCAGTTATGGTATTAATAATTGTGCATTTGTTTTGCATTCAGTATTTGGAAGCTAACATAAAACAGATTATTAACATTGGCCAGTAGTATTGGTGCCTTTTTATGCGTGTAAGCATTGTATTGATTTTGATTGCAGCTAAAATACTTCGTTTTGAGTAGTTAAAATTATTTATTCTGTGACCACTCATTGTGTAAATTTCCAATAAACTAAATGTAGATACAGATATAAAGGTATCTAATCTTCATTTTAGAAGAAGAGTGCAGTTGCTAACTATTCTGTTTTTAAAAGTCATCTTGGAAATAGCTTTTATACTTTTGCAAATGGAGAGATAGAAAAACTGATGGTATGTTTTGGTGCTATATTCTATTTATTTCATACAATTCACAAATAAATGTAGAAATGAGTGTCATGATCCAGTGTTTGATTCTTTCACCTTTTTTCATACTGTGTTTAGGTCTAACAATTTAAACATGTAAATTAAATGTAAATTTTAATATAATTATCTGCTTTTGCAGTCTTTTTTCTTCATTTTGCTCCTGTTTCCATTGTGGGATGGTTACATTTGAATAGGAGAAGCCCAAATAAAGATCTAGCCTACTATGTTTTTGATCCAACAAGATAATTTGTTACAAAAATACAATTTATTTTGTTTTGTGTTTTTGTTTTAGCTGTCCTCTGCAAACTGGGTGTACCTCTGGGACCAATGCCTAATGAAGACATTGATGTTAGTAACTTGGAAGCACTGGAAAAGTATCGTGTTTTCACTCGTTATTTCAAGGTAGCAGAAAAAGAGAATAAAAAAACTCCTTGGTGGCGAACATATAAGAAACACATCACTCCAGAAGAAGGTATTAACCATGGAGGAGCACAAAAGCCTAGCCCAGATTTTTTTCCCCTCCAGTAGCTTTGATTAAATAGTTTAACGTTTTCCCCAAGGGCATAATGCATTTTGTATACTTATAAATTTTATTGACCATGATAGAACATATTTTTGAATAAACATAATGAATTGGATAGTAACATTCAATTCTATTAAGAAAGTGATCAGGAAAGTATAAACAAAATAAAGTTGATGATTTGGCTTTTGTAATTATATCTTGAAAATAAAACAGAACAATTGTTTTAGTTCAAAGAGCAAAACATCTTTATTGGAAAAATGCATCGATTTGTTCCCCCTTTAACTTGTAGTGAATTCTGCTATCATTAAGAATTCTGTAAATCAGAGATTCCAAGTCTACAACAGGCACTTTTTACATATCCTAAGATGGAAAATAAGTAGTTATTTTCACCTTTAAGGCATGCTATTTAAACAAGTTTGGTTCTGCCCAATTTTTCAAATAGTTATGGATTATCCATCAGTAAGTTGTCTAGAAAACTGCAAGATTTATTTTGCATAATCTCTTTTCTTTTAAATCTTAGATAAAGAGGCAAAGATCGACATTGGTCTGCCTAGTCTTCCACTATCACGAAAAAATATATCTAAAGAGAGAAAGGCTTTTAGGAAGCAAAATTTAACTAATCCGGAACTGGAACAGGCATCCTGGCTCAAAACATGTATGTTAGTAACCGTTCTCCCAGCATTTATTTCCTTTGCATTCACAAGAGTTTATCCACTTTGTTTACCTAACTATTTTGTTTCTGCTTGCAGTGCAGATTCCTCTAGATGATGTCAGAGCTGAATGGGAAAGAACCAGTGGCCCATATCACAAGCAACGATTAGCAGAACACTATGGACTGTACCGGGACTTGTTTGATAATGCCCTGTTTGTTCCTAGAGTGCTTCTAAAAGTGGAATATAACCAGAATGAGGATTATGTTATGCCAGTTTATTATGGAAATGTGGTTACTCCCACAGAGGTATTATACCAAAAGTAGGAGCTTTGAGATAAAATACATGCTTTTTTGGTTTTGGTTTATCTGCTGCTCGTGTATTAGATATAAGACACTAAAGTAATTTTCCTGGAACGTTTCACAAAATTGTGTGTAATGAGTATGTTATTACTCTAAACATGTTAATAGTTATATGTTTTCTATGTATTAATATAGTACTCTGCCAGCAGAATACCCACATTGCAGGGCTACAACTGTTAAGGTTAAGCTGCATGAAATCAGATTCACTATAAGTTAATTCTACAATACAACATCTAGTAAATAGGAATAATTATAATCAAAATTATAATCTAGGGCTCTCTTTGTCAGATTAGCTACAGGTAATCCTTACTTAATGACCACTTGTTCAGCAACTGTTCAAAGTTACAACAGTGCTGAGAAAGTGGACTTATAACTGATCTAGAGGATGTGGCTGCCACAATTACATAATCACAATTTGGGCACTTGGCAACCAGCATGGATTTACAATAGTCATAGCGTCCTGGAGTCATGTGTTCACCTTTTGTGACCTTCCCTACCAGCTTCTGATCGACATAACATTGTGCTTGACAACATATGGAAATTTGCTTAATGATCACAACTGGAACTGACATAAGTGATGTTTTACTTTACAACTGGGTCGCTTAGCAGTACAATTACCGGTCTCAATTGCATTGGTGAGGACTACCTGTGAAGTGAATATAACTTTAACTTTCATATTAAATGTTTGCATACTATTATTCTAGTACAATACCTGAAGCAGTTTTCAACTAAAATGCTGAAAATCAGCAATGAATTATTTTGTGCAAAAAAAAAAGTATCAGTTGCACCAGTAAAGCATGAGTAAAGCAGAAACTATCATCATCTATTAAATGTCTGGGACCATAAGATGCTCTTAACGTATCACATAATCATGACAAAAGATGCTTCAACTACTGACTCTCAACCTTACTTGTAAATTTTGCATGGGCTAGCTAGATTAATCTTACAGAATTAGATAGTTTTTTGCAATACTGTAGGTGTTTGGGTGAGATTTCTGTTATCAGTTAACAGCAGTATGCTCTTTTTTATTGTCCACAGTGTCCCCCAAATTCATGCAGTAAGGAAATTTGTCTTTGGACCAGTTATTTTCTCCTATTTGTAACCTAAAATGGAAGAAAAGGAGTGTGTAAATCAAGATTGTTATTGTATACATCCTGGGTTGAAAATAATCAAATTCCCCAAACATCCTGAAATATACTTTCTATCCACTTGTGTGATATAATGGGGACGTCACTACATTTCCTTTTGCAATTCACGGCTCCCAAAATTTGTCCCCACTCCCTATTTTTTTCACTATTGCATCTTGCTTTTAACTCCAAGGTTCCTTGAGAATGTTAGTTTTGATTGTCCATGCTGCAGTCATCAAGAAATGACATAAATGTCTGTTGACTGATGTGAAAATTGTGAACAGCCAGGAGAGCAAGTATAATTTAAGAACACAAATTATTGTTATTTCAACTAAGAAACCACTCAACTCCTCAGCAACTCTGGATAGCTTACAATTAAAGTTGTAATTCTTTATTCAGGACCATGGTGGGGAGTGGGGGAATAAGCTATTTAATACTCATTGTCATATTTTCCTGTTTAGGCTTTTAATACTCCTGAAATCTCATTTGAAGCAGATGAAGGAACACTTTGGACTTTGTTGCTCACTAATCTAGGTAAGTGCCATTATGTTAGGAATACTTTCTTAGTATGATAGGATTTCTTAACAGTTGGAAAAGATTTTCCATTGCATATTTTGATGGAGCTTCTGATTAAAATCCAGTTGCTGCAGCAGAAGCAGACACTTTTCAGTGAAAAGGTCTGTAGAGAAAAACATCAGAAATCTTGTAAGTAAGAAAAACTTCCTAGATCGGGGTTCCTCAAAGTGGTTAATATTGACCCCCAGAGTCAATGGGACTATTCAAAGAGTCGATAAATGGCTGGGGATCAATAGCAGATTATAAATGGTCAAAGATCAATTGGGGGTCAACCTTTTGGGATTTCTGTAGAGTTCCATTCCAGTCTCTAGTCCTGAAGTTGAGGTGCAGCAAGACAATGTTACCCAGGGCTGAATGGTAAGTTGCTGGCGAGAGCAACCTTGAGTTGTCCCTTCTACTATGGTTCATTGCATAGTCAGCTAGATGTTTAGACTGGATTTGGTATGCAATGGTGGCGAAAGCTGTAGCTCGGGTGTAGGATGAGGGTGAAGGTTCATTCTCCGAACTTGTGGATTGGTTTCTGAATGTTTCATTACAGGCTAGGTAACATCTTCAGTGGAGTTTAGGGGATGTCAGTGTCAGTGTTCTGTTTATAAGGGCTTCAGGTGTGAGTGTGTCAAGTGAAGGTCTTGTGATGGGTCATCAGTGAGAGGCTTGTGATAGGGAGCTTACTTCAGGTCAGGGTCATTGGAAGGTGAACTGCTGGTAGGAGAGGGAGACTTGCGTGGGTTGGTTGAGGGTCCGTACCGTCTCTGGTTGGCTGTGTGGTTGATTTGGATTCTGAGGAGTTTGTAGGCTGGTTGTAGGTTGATGTATCTGTTGATGGAATTGCTTGTGGCGTGCCAGTACATTGACAGAACACTGACACTGACATCCCCTAAACTCCGCTGAAGATGTTACCTAGCTTGTAACAAAATGTTGGGAAACCAACCCACAAGCTTGGATTTGATATTTTTATCCACCTATCGAGACCTTCGCAAGGACCTGGGATAGGCAGATGTTGTTGTTTGATGATGTTAAAGGTGTCTATTATTATTGTTTGTAGTATTAAAGTATCAAATTATTTTTATATAATGTTTTGGAGTTGATGAACAATTTGAAAATGCATGAAGGGTTGTTGAGATGAAGCGTTTAGGGATCCCTGGCCTAGATCTTTGTTCAATTTAATTTAGATAATTCTTTCTTTTGTAAGGTAGACTGGGCATTTAAAAGGAAGATTTTGCAAGTTCTAGATGTTTTTTTTTGTTCCTAGCCTGTGTTTAGAACTTGTAGATGTTGTGAGCAACATAAAAGAAGGCTGCAATTTTTTTCCCCAAAGCTGACAAAGTTGCACTACTATCCAAACTCAATTGCTGCTTTGCCTATCCAGGTCCATTGTAGGCTTTTGCTGAAATATTGCCTGCCAGATCTGGCAACCCCAATGAGTCATAGATTAAAGTAAAAATGTTCATAGTAAATAGCTATATTCATTTAATTAATTAATCTCTATGTCACCCATCCCACTATCCTAGTGATTCTGGGAAGCTTATAATTTAGTCTAACCTCAACCCCATTTTCTAGCCATTTTAGGCATCAGAATATGAGGACTCCTCATTTAAAGAGATCAAGCAATAGTTAGAAAAGTTTTGCAATTTTTAAGTATTTTATTATAATTTAATTGTAGTTTTAAAATCGGTAAGTGACTAAGGATTAATATGTGGTACAGATGTATCAGAACTGGGAGGGGGTTTATTTTGTCGAATGTTCTTTATATACAACCTTTATCTCTAAGTTTTTTTAAAAAGCCATTGTAAAACTTTGTTATAGTAGCGTGAAAAATGAACTGTTGTAGTAAAAAAGAAAAAAAAACTGAATATGCTATAGCCAAAACAGTATAATAAAGACATACTTTGTAAGATGAGTTGTATATTTACCGGGTTTTTGTATACCTTGTTTGTACAGATGGACACCTGTCTGATGGCAATTTGGAGTACGTCCATTGGTTGGTGTGAGTATTAGCACTGTACCAAATTCAGAATAACAGAGTTGAAAGGGACCTTGGAGGTCTTCTATTCCAACCCCCTGCATTGTGGGTATCATTTTCATATTCAAAGGAAATCTGGAACAGAATCTCAAAATTTAGCTACCAGTATACTATCACGCTAATTTTCCTGATCCACCCATAATTATAGAACCATAGAATGTATGGATTAGATGGGATCTGAGTCTAGCCTATTCTACTGCTCAGTGTACAGTCTACTACTGTTATGGCAATCCCAATAGATGGTCTTCAAGCCAACAGACTCCACTGTCTTCTGTTGATGGAACAGCTTATACTGTTAGAAATGTGCCCTTGATGACCAGCTGAAATGTACTCCTTTTTCATTTAAAATTATTCTTTCTTTCCCTGGAACGTATTTGACCACCTCTGCTCTGTGTTTTATAAGGCAAGTACTTGAAGCCATTAGTTTTTAAATAAATATCTATGATCTCAATGGTCCAAAGCTAAGAAAAGAGTGGATATTGGTTCTTTGGCTGTTTCTACTTTTGACAAGCCAGTATGTTTGCCAGATGTGATAATAACTGGACCATTCTAACAAGCCAAGGAAGATACAACTGAAATCCCATATTGTCTCTTTCATCTATTTAATATCTATCCAATATTCTACTTAGTATAAGGCAATTTTAAATTGTTTAATGCTATACCAAAGTAACACCGAGTTCAATAATGCCACAAGATTATATACGAGTGATTTATTTTCCCTCAAGGCAAAAGGGGGACAAGAATATATGGAACTAGAAAACTAAGAAGATGGTGTGTATTGCAAAAGTACTAGAAGGAATGAAGCCCAGTGCCTTCCAAATTCTTAACCTCAGCCTTCCCCAGACAGGACACTTTCTGAATCTGAGGGTTTCAAGTCTCAGAATTCTCTGCCCAGTGTGGCCACAGCAAAGAATCTAGGGAATTTAAAGCCATACATCTTAAAAGTTGGTGGAAAGCTGTCTGACCTTCAGTAAACTTTATAGTTTTGAATTGTCTAATCGGGAATTCTTGTGAATTTGACAGAACCCCGAGGATTGCATTGATTTCTGAGACTATAATGTAATACTGGTTAGAGCAGAGATGAGATCCTTGGAATCCATCAGCAGTCTACCTGGTAAACTTAAAAGACCCTGAGGGATGTGCTCACGGTTTCCCCATGGCTGTACACTGCCCAGATAAATTGCTAGCAGCTTTTGCCAACTAGCAAGTCAGTTTTGCAAGGGAGCTTCCTAACCTTTATTACTATCCTCATTGGAATAGCTCTAACTTCCCCAAGATAAACACTACTTCTATCCTTTGGTGGCTCATCTTACTTAAGAAACACACAAGTCCCCTCATTACAGTCCGTTTGTACAAACCTAGGAGAAAAATATAGTTGTCCCCTTTGTAGGGTCCGTTGGTTTATCTCCGTCCCGTTCTTTAGACGGTAATAAAGGGACGTAAAGGTCGGTCTCCTTGTCCTATGGTAGCGATGCAGAAGGAAGATAAGTTTGTCGTGGCCGGTATTGATTTTACTGAAGATGTGCGGCCAACACCATGGTAACTCTTCATATTTTCCATATAATGATGAAAGAAGGTTGCACTGGGATATTACCTCTTATCTCGGGAGATGACAGATTTATGAAGGAAAACTGAACAGTTTAAGATATTTCTGATATTAAAAATAAACAGTCAACATTAAACAGTTCAGTTCAGCAGACAAACCAAAAAAATAGACACAGCACAACTAGAAAACAAGCACAACTAGCTAAATGGCTTTAAATGTTGAAACCTTTTTATTGGACAGTAATCTGTACGTACAACTCGTTGGGCTGCTTCTTTGGGTAGAAATCAGCATATGGCCCATAGTTATATTAAGTAACTCTGGGGTCTCCCAGTGTGATGCCTACAGATAGAGGGGGGTAGAGGTGTTGGTGTCCACTAAGCTCTGGTTTTTTTTTTAAATGGCTGTACAATGAATGTACAATGGAAGGCAGAGGGAACACAGTCAAGATAAATCTGCTTATAAGGGGCTGTTGAATAGGAGAATTGGATATAATTCTCTCATTCCAGAAACCTCACATTTGTTTAATATTTAAGCCAGTTTTAAATTGTTTTTTCTCACTTTCACTTTCACTCACATTAAATTATGAAACATAGTACTCTATTGTCATTTTAAGAGTTCAGAAATTGGAATAGTAATAGATGAAGGGATTACAAAAGGCAAACCCACTGCATTTGCATTTTCATCTCTTCAGTCACAGCCTCAAGATGAGAACCTTCAAAACATTTGACTTCTACAAGAAGCATCAGAGTGATATGACACCAGCAGGACTGGTGTTTTTCCAGTGCGAGTGGGATAATTCTGTCACAAACGTCTTTTATGAGCTTCTTAGTAAGTAATGGACCACATGTAAAATATCTACAATTTTGCATTTTTGGGGGGGTTGAAATGAAATGTTGGGACAGGCTTAAACTTTGTTATCCCCCCCCAAAAAAAACCATTATATGGGGTGGGGGTGGAATGTAAGCTGTAGTTTAAACCCAAAATTGATAGAAACCGTAACCTTCCTCTTCAAAAATTCCTTGATAAGTCACTCTTTTATAGAGTCTGTTTCTTGTAATTGGTACTGAAATAGAATGGCAGAGAACTTGCAAATGTACTTATAATTTAGCATTCAGTAAATATGAATGGAATAGAAACTGCAAGTGGGAGTCATGTTTAATAGGGTGCTGGCGGACTTGCTGAGCATCCTACTCCTAAGACTTATAATAATAATAATAATAATAATAATAATAATAATAAGAATAAGAAGAAGAAGAAGAAGAAGAAGAAGAAGAAGAAGAAGAAGAAGAAGAAGAAGAAGAAGTAGTAGTAGTAGTAGTAGTAGTAGTAGTAGTAGTAGTAAAGTTGGAAGGGACCTTGGAGGTCATCTAGTCCAACCCCCTGCTCAGGCAGGAAACCCTATACCATTTCAGACAAATGGCTGTCCAGCCTCTTCTTTAAAACTTCCAGTGTTGGCACATTCATCGCTTCTGGAGGCAGGTTGTTCCACTGGTTAATTGTTCTAACTGTTCCTGTATTAGAGCAACTACTATTGTATATTTTCATCCACCATTAGATATCAGCACCAATTCGTTTTTCAGTTTTCAAAATAAACAATTGCTGTCTTCTGTTTTCATGATTTAAAAAGAAAATCTTAACAAATTCCACCAATTTCAAACCTATCCAGATTTAGGTCTTATATTCATTTCATTTCAGTATATTTCTGTCCCCCATAAAAAGTTTAATTCGCCACTTCCTTCTGTAGGAGGGTGGGGCAAAGATCCCTCTCCTTCTCACTTTCGGAGGCTTTTTGTTTCTTGGGGTTCCCCCCCCCCCAGGAAATCAATTATCAAGTAGAAGAGAGAAAATCAGTGTTCTTACCCAGTTCCAAGCACATTGTTTACAGTTAGCTTAAAATGGTGCTTTTGGGCTTCGGCTGCTTGTAGCTTGGGCTAGACTCTGGAATTAAGCTAGCCTTTCTCCTGCTGGTTTCTGGAGGGCTTTCCCTGAATGACCGGATCGACCGCCATCTCTCTACAGTCGGTGGGGCTTCCCTCCTTTGTCACCTCTCCGGGGCGACTTTAGGTCCATTTAGGGTCCCCTAACAGGCAGAAATCGGCTGTAGGGTGCGGAGCGATCCCTCGGCTGCTGCGCAAAACCGGAAGCCAGTAATGATTGATTTATTATGTGGCATCAGGTCAGCATCAACTTTTAGCAAGCACATATATCAATATTCTCCCTGATGATCTTTCTTTAACCTGATCTTTAGGTCCTCCAATAATGTGAACATCACAACTGTAAATGAGCCCATCTATTTTATTGCTGGTTGTCTTCTTCTTTTTTTTCCTTCCTCCTTTCCCAGCATTAACTCCTTCTCCAGAGAGTTAGGTCTTCACATAATGTATGTGAAGTAGGATAATTTGAACCTGGTCATTCGTACCTCAAGTGGAAACCCTATATTAATTTATTTGATAATCCATTTGTTTGTTTTCTTGTCTGTCCACAGTGTACTTAGGAGTCTTCTCCAATACCAAAGTTGAAAAGTTTAATACTCTTTCTCTTCTGTTTCTTCAAAGTTCAAGCAGTAACTAGTTTGAAACGATCTTGCTTTTTGAAATACTAATGCTAAGACTATTGAGTGTTGTACTACTGCGTTACATTTTAAGCCATATACTGTTAGTTGGTACAGCTTCCAGGCCTCAGTGGTTTTACCTAGAGAATAACTGACTGTAGAAATTTCAAAATTATTTAGTCCAGGAATTTCTGAACATATCAAAAAGTTACTTGAGCAAGAAACAAACAGAACAGATAATAATCAGCAGAATGTGATTGTGGATCAACCACAATCTGGACATAGATTTATAATTACTGAATTCACTTCTTTTCAATTTACTAGGAAGGGAAGGAAGCATATGGTTTTTGGGGGCACTGTGAAAATACTGCAAATCATGACAGATAAAAGATAGAAAAACGATGAACCATTAATTGGTCAACCTACTATATTCTTAGAATTCTAATCTCGAACAAAACAAACATTAAAAACTCTTCACGATTGTAAGAGAAAAGGAAAATATCTGTACTTCCTTGGTCACAAACTGAAACAAGACGGTGGGTTTATAGTAGGGGGGGTCTTCTTTATAGGTGTGGCAGTTGGAGACTCCATGGACCTGTCCATGTCCCTGTCACTACTTGGGTCCTATGGCATTTACTGAACAGAAGAAACGCTTCTTTCCATAGGAGACCCGAACAGAATAATTTGTGTGTTTGGTCCAAAAAACAGAAGTCCATAAAATATAACTGAAAGTCACCCAGCTTATCTTATTCTTACCACCCACTTGGAAGAAAATCCAGTTTCCATCTCTCTTGTGTATATGTGTCACAGATTTTGTTATTATTATTTTTTCCAGTATTTGATCAAGAAAACTTGAAGAATAAAATATTTTTATTTGAATAAAATCAGACAATACATTACATGTTGCAAAGTGTTCAATCGCCACAGAACCTGGACTATGCATTATCTTTCATATTAAAAAAGAAAAGCATGATTTCAAAATATTTGAAACCAGTTTCATGGGAAGAAGCCCGTGGAATTCACTTGCTGGGATTGTCTTGCATAGGTGTGGGCAGCACATTCCCTCTGTTTCCAGTGTGCCTGCATTAAAGCCTCCAACTAAAGAGTGTTTTCCTCTGAGCCAGCCTTGACTACTGATGACTAAACAAGTCCCTGCAGTTTTCTTGGCAAGATTTTCAGAACTGGTTTATCACTGCCTTTTTCCCAATATTAAGCGTGACCTAACTGACTTTGGGCCTAAGGCAGGACTAAAACTCACAGTCTTCAGGTTTCTAGCCAAATGCCTTAACCACCATACCAGACTGTCCCTCAGGGCCCAACTATGATTACAATTGATAATTCTTCGGGCAATCTTCAGGGGTGGCGAGTTATGTTTTTTTATTGTCTTTATATTGGGTTTTTATTCTTTGTAACCACCTGGAGTCCCTGGGAGTGAGTTGGGCAGCCATATAGAGCCATTGCAAATAACTACCAATGTGTTTCTGAATGAATGCTATTGGAAACTTACTTTAGATCATACCCTTAGAATTTAATTAAGGATGAGACATATCGCAGGAGCAGCTTTATACAGCAATTTTAAGAAAATATATGGCAATATTTGGAGGAAGATGTATTCCGTTATTTACATTTAACTTAAATTTGTAAAATGTTACACTTATGTATTTATAACTTTTTAAAAAGTCCTTAATGATTTTGTTACTCTCCTAGCAGTTTAACAAATAAATAAGATGTATTGTGTTACTCTTTTCTCATTTTTATAAGTTCTAGTGACCTTTTCTAACTTAGGACTGATGAACTATGAAGCCCAAAATTTAAATAATTTTCAAAAAGTTAGCCAAGGTCTTTGAGGGAAGAATACTGAGGATCTTTTGTAAGAGTTTGGTCATTTTTTAAAAATTATCTTTTGATGCTTGCAAAAGTTACTGCCTCTTAAGTACTGTTCTAGTAAGTTCAGGGGCTAAGCAAGCATTGCCATTTTTTCTGCTTCTAGAGGGGATTAGAATTATGGTATCTTGAACTTTTTATTCAATGGGGTATGGATAGATCTGTGGTTAATTATGAGAAAAATGAAAAACACCTATTTTTTGTAGCCATTCTTTGTTTGACACACACTAAAGGATAAAACAGCAACCAGGTAAATATCATGAATTGCCATTGTTTCTGATTTGTGTTTGTGTTCACTTAAGTATCCCAGAATTGTAAAATTGGGGAAGATTTAGTTTCTGATCTGGCCATTCTTGTCTGAACTCAGCGATTCAGATGCTATTGCCAGCACTGCATTGAAGTCAGCTCAGTTCTAGGAAAGACTTAAACCAGAAGTCTTCAGCAAAGTTTTACCTCATGGAGACTAGTCCAAATGATCACTATGGGTCGGGTGTTGACCTTTGGAAACTTATACAGATAACTGCTACAGAAACAAACAAACCTTTACATACTAGTTAACAAAACAAAGGTTCTAGCTAAAAAATTCCATTGGATTAAGATGTTTAAGATTGGGCAGAACTTGGACCAGGAAAACGTCTTTAGGGAAATTGTCCCATAGTCCAATCATCACAACTGAACAATCTTATTCGGATCAAACCCTGAATAATGAGCATAATGTAGCTTTGATTTTGGTTTAAGGTATTATGAGGCCAGCCATTCTGGTTTATGTGCCTGGGATTATGCTTTAGCACAATGTGTGATCCCAGCCAGTTATGGATGATTCAACAAACCATAGTTAGAAATCATGACTTAGCCTCTGTGGGACAAGAATCAAAGAGTGACTTGTGGTCAGAGCCGTGAGGAATTGACTAGCGTGTAACTGAAAGCAAATTTTGGACTCCAGAAATGTAAAAATGCTTTTAAAGTTTATTCTCCCCTTCAGCATTCTGGAACAGGGTAGGCAAACAAAATCTGACTCTTCGGAAATATAGCCAAGCAGACTAAGAACTCAGAAAAACATTCAAAATGTAATGCCAAACTCCGGAGCTTTCTCTGTTTTCTTTCTAGCAGCACCTTCCTTGGCTAAGCTCTGGTTCCCTTTTGCCCCTCTTGACTGCAGCTTGAGGCACCAGCTCTCTTCTCTGGGAAGGCAGTGACTTTTGCCAAAGGCAAGCAATGTAAAAAGGTTTTGTGTGCCGACCTGAAGATCATTTACAGATGCCTGCAAAACAAAAACATCCACCTTTTCCCATCTCCTCTACATCTTCTGCTTCATCAGAGTGGCCTTTATGCTCAGCAGGCACTGAGTCTGCCAAAATTTTCCATTCTGAGATTAGGAGGTTTAATCACCAGGCTGGAGTC